GGGTGGACCTACATGCTGATGGGCTGGATTTCTGTGATATAAGCAGTCGCATATATGGACATATGGTTAGTAGGAGGCTCAGGACCTGGTGTACAGACTTCTTTAGGGCATCTTCTGCCTCTTTCTTAGCAAGAAGACGCTGCTAGGGTGATGATTTGCTTCCTGCAGTGAAAGAGTTGTTTCCTATGGATTATGTACCAAATAAGACCATCAGCCAGAGCTACGGCATTCATGCTGTGTTCTTGATACCGTCTTCGGCTGTTAAATAATTAAATTGCTACTGGTACCACTAGAGAGTTCTGCTGTGCTGGCTGCTGAACAAGGGGACAGAGTGCTTACAGTAATGTCCCGAATGCTATGATGTCAATTTTAAACTCACCTTAACTGAGCATGTATAGAAAAATTAAAAACACTGGATCAGAATACCGTCATTCTACATTATCTTAACATTGGCTCATAAACAGCATCATCCCTGGGAAGCTGGAATACTTCAGCAATATCCAGTGTCACAGTAGTTTCAACAACAATAACTGAAGGCAGGTTTATTCACCATGAACACATGACAGGGGCAATGTGGTATTGCGGCAGTACATCATACAAGTGAAGTTCTGCAAAGCACATGCTGTTGATATTTCTATTGGAATACACATTAGTACTAAAGCATTTGTGCACTGTGATGCTCTTCTTGTGTGTACTTATGGAAGGACACTTGCAAATGTGAATGTATCTGAGTAGTTGAAAGTGCAAGCCAAACCTGATATTTTGACTTTCAGAGCTGGCTGTAGAATTCCATATTGGTTGATGGTCACTTAAATCATGTCTGCCCAAAGTTATAGTCTGCTGAAAGTTGTATAGTCTTTGTTGTCAGTACTTTACTATATGCATTGCATATTTATTTATTTATATGGGTCATAATCCTGCAGGATATTTATGTTGAAATTCTAGTGAGTCAGGGGGTTAGGAGAAATGCTGGTGCTGGATTGGACACATTAAAACACCTACTAAACTAGAAAGTCCTTTCTCTGGAATCCTCATTGCTATGTCCAAAAACTAGAGACAGATAATGGAGTGGACTTGGAAGGAGCTACAGAAAGGAGATAGCAAGAAAACAGGGCTTGGTATGAGTTTGTTGATGATTTATGCTTCATTTGGGATAATGACAAGCGGAAGATCTCACCATGTTTATGAAGGAAATTTGTATCTGGTTTCCAGGACTCCATTTTTGTGTGCACTTACTAATGTATTGCTATCATTGGAATTTGTCTGCCATGTGTTGGAGGCTGTGATTGTAATGTGCAGAGTAAGCGTGCACTTGCTGGGATGCAAGAATCTAGGATCCAGAGAAAAGGGTATGATGGAAATCATAATCATAATGAGAAAGGAGAGATGGCAGTAAAAAGAGAAAGGAGAGATGACAGTCAAAAAGAGAAAGGAGAGATGGCAGTCAAAAGAGAAAGGAGAGATGGCAGTCAAGAGAGAAAGGAGAGATGGCAGTCAAAAAGAGAAAGGAGAGATGGCAGTCAAAAAGAGAAAGGAGAGATGGCAGTCAAGAGACAAAGGAGAGATGGCAGTCAAAAAGAGAAGATAAGAGTCAAAAAGAGAAAGGAGAGATGGGAGTCAAAAAGAGAAAGGAGAGATGGCAGTCAAGAGACAAAGGAGAGATGGCAGTCAAAAAGAGAAGATGAGAGTCAAAAAGAGAAAGGAGAGATGGCAGTCAAAAAGAGAAAGGAGAGATGGCAGTCAAGAGAGAAAGGAGAGATGGCAGTCAAAAAGAGAAAGGAGAAACGGGAGTCAAAAAGAGAGATGAGAGTCAAAAAGAGAAAGGAGAGATGGCAGTCAAAAAGAAAAAGGAGAGATGGGAGTCAAAAAGAGAAAGGAGAGATGGGAGTCAACAAGAGAAATGAGAGATGGGAGTCAACAAGAGAAAGGAGAGATGGGAGTCAACAAGAGAAAGGAGAGATGGGAGTCAAAAAGAAAAAGGAGAGATGGGAGTCAACAAGAGAAATGAGAGATGGGAGTCAACAAGAGAAATGAGAGATGGGAGTCAAGAGAGAAAGGGGAGATGGGAGTCAAAAAGAGAAAGGAGGCATGGGAGTCAAGAGAGAAAGGAGAGATGGCAGTCAAAAAGAGAAAGGAGAGATGGCAGTCAAGAGAGAAAGGAGAGATGGCAGTCAAAAAGAGAAAGGAGAGGTGGGAGTCAAATAGAGAAAAGAGATGGAAGTCAAAAGAGAAAGGATAGGGAGGAGTAAAAAGTGCCTCTAGAAAAATGTAGAATGTCCAAGAGTGAAGAATACTGCTGTTAAGTTACATGAGCTTTACAATGTAATTGACATATTGTAGCATGGTGCAGCATATGTACATGTGTTTTAATAATTAACTGGGAGAGACCCACATGAGCATAAACCAGTCAAACACAGTATTTGTTGTGCCTATGCACTGGTAAACTGCTTGGAAATCGTGCACAGCAAAACAGTTGATGTGGACACAGTTCTCTCATATCAAATCTGTCAGCATGTTTTTTTTTTCTCCACAGATGATCTGTCATTGTATTCATCTTTCTTCCTCTTCTGCCCTTTATCCCCTGATTGAGCACAGGTCCTCAACCAACTCATCTTATCCTTTGTTGTCGCAGACAGCTCAATCCATGTCCTCCCCATCTTTATAATTTTATTGTCATTGTATTAACAGTGCTAAAGTGTATTTTTTCAAAATTAGGTTTTATCAGCAGCATCTCTGTTTCTCCCCTCCTCTGTATTTATAGCTAAGATTACAGCTGCGCTTATTGGCAGCCCTTTTACAATGTGTGTATCTTTGTTCTTGGAGCACTTGAGTTTGAATAGAACTATAGCCTCAGTTTTAAACTGCAATAGTTATTTAGATTTAAAAGTTTGAAGCTAATTAGATCATTAAATTTGTGTTCTGAGTGTGGTAAATTATCTTCTAATTTTCATATAGTAATGTCAGTTGCTGCTTGTCTCTTTTCCGATGACATCTGTGATTGGATCTCTAAGGACTTTTTCGTCTAGTTTCCAGTACTTTCAGTAATCCGATGTCTCTCCATATAATTTTCATTACCATATTTTTTGGTAGTTTATCTTAGGATAGTGTGCAACCAATACTTTCTATAGTTAGATGTCTCTAAGGATCATTTTCCTTCACTTGCCAGAAGTCGGTCTCTCTCCTGCTGTCCTGTCTTGTGCAGTCAGTTTTGACCAGAAAATATATAACACAGTATTCAATTCAAGATCAAGCAGTAATTTTCTGTTAGCTAACTGATTCCCAGTTAGCTAACACCTGTGGACCAATAGATCAGTGGTTCCCAGTTAGCTAACACTTGTGGGCCAATAGATCAGTGGTTCCCAGTTAGCTAACTCTTGTGGACCAATAGATCAGTGGTTAACAGTTAGCTAACACCTGTGGACCAATAGATCAGTGGTTCCCAGTTAGCTAACACTTGTGGACCAATAGATCGGTGGTTCCCAGTTAGCTAACACCTGTGGACCAATAGATCAGTGGTTCCCAGTTAGCTAACACCTGTTGGCCGATAGATCAGTGGTTCCCAGTTAGCTAACACTTGTGGGCCAATAGATCAGTGGTTCCCAGTTAGCTAACACTTGTGGACCAATAGATCGGTGGTTCCCAGTTAGCTAACACCTGTGGACCAATAGATCGGTGGTTCCCAGTTAGCTAACACTTGTGGACCAATAGATCAGTGGTTCCCAGTTAGCTAACACATGTGGACCAATAGATCAGTGGTTCCCAGTTAGCTAACACCCGTGGACCAATAGATCAGGGTTTCCCAGTTAGCTAACACCTGTGGACCAATAGATCAGTGGTTCCCAGTTAGCTAACACCTGTGGACCAATAGATCAGTTGTTCCCAGTTAGCTAACATCTGTGGACCAATAGGTTAGTGGTTCCCAGTTAGCTAACACATGTGGACCAATAGATCAGTGGTTCCCAGTTAGCTAACACCCGTGGACCAATAGATCAGGGTTTCCCAGTTAGCTAACACCTGTGGACCAATAGATCAGTGGTTCCCAGTTAGCTAACACCTGTGGACCAATAGATCAGTTGTTCCCAGTTAGCTAACATCTGTGGACCAATAGATCAGTGGTTCCCAGTTAGCTAACACCTGTGAACCAATAGATCAGTGGTTCCCAGTTACCTAACACTTGTGGACCAATAGATCAGTGGATCCCAGTTAGCTAACACTTGTGAACCAATAGATCAGTGGTTCCCAGGTAGCCAACACCTGTGGACCAATAAATCAGTGGTTCCCAGTTAGCTACGAAATAGGAAAAACTGGTCTGGATACCATAAATTGCGACATACAAGTCAACCTCAAAATGTTCAGCTCAAAATTCTGAGTTATAAATAATAACCCATTTTGTATCTGCCATACATGTCAACTGATTTTTGAAAAGTAATAAATATCAATTATTACCTGCATCCATAAAGTAGGTCTTCTTCTTCTGCCTTTCTAACCCCCAATGGAGCTTACGCTTTCACTCAACTCACGCCAGGTCGTTCTGTCCTTCGCTATCTCATGCAGCTCCCCCCATCTTTTTAACTTTGCTCTCTAGCTCCCGTCTCTACGTGTTTTTTTGGGTCTTCCTTTATTTCTCTACTTTTTTGGGTTGCAGTGCAAAGACATTCTAGTTATAGTTTTCTCAACATAGGTCCTATCCAACACCAGCGTCTTTTCCTCACCCCTTAATCCATTAGAATTTTTAGTTCTCTCCAAAGCTTTACATTAGTGATTCTATCATACCATTTAATTCCCTCTATTCTGCGCAGGCACCAGTTAATGAATGTTTGTAGTTCATTATTAATTACCTTAGTTCTCCATATTTCCGCTCCATACAACAGTACTGATTTGACATTAGAATTAAAAAAATTTTTTAGTATAGTAATATTTTAACTTCTTTTGACCTCCAGTAGGTCTTAGGTCTTGGTTAAGTTGGGTTATAATTTTATGATTATTTTGACTGTCCTCAGATGTGGAAGACATCAAGTTTGTTATCAACTTTGACTATCCAAACTGCTCGGAGGATTATGTCCATCGTATCGGTCGCACAGGACGTTCCACAAACACAGGAACAGCATACACATTTCTGACCCAAAAGAACGCTAAACAAGCCACAGATCTGATCAATGTACTTAGAGAGGCTAAGCAAGTCATCAGTCCAAAACTTCTTCAGCTGGAGGAAAACTCTAAAGGATTTCATGGTGGTAAGTGTCTATGATTTACTTGTATATAATCGGCTCCTTCTCAGCTTTCCATGTCCGAAAGGTTCTTTCTTGAAAAAAAACTCTTTCCGTTTCTCTTTCTGCTCACATCTTAATCAGTCAGTGCTTGAAACTCTTATCTTTTGTATCTACTTCAACCTTTTGTGGACTCCTAACTGGGTACCATACCTGAGGTTTTTTCAAATATATCTATATCTTTATTATCTAGTTCCACTTGTCTGGCATAACAAAACCATTTAGATTGGATAACATAGTGTTGACAAGGGATGTGTATTTATGCATTTGCAGTCATTCTGCTTGTTCTTCTTCTTATATTGCTGTAATTGTCTTTGGCAGAACCAAATATTTTTTTCCTGAATGTCCTGTTTTAAGATGAGCGCAGGATGATGATTTGCCAATTTGCTTCATGCATACAGCACTGTTATAAATTATAGGTGGCTAAAAATGTGCAGCATTATTGAATAAGATGTGATCTGTGAATTTGAAATACCCTGCTTGGCATTATGGTGTTCATTTCTCATGTATATGTGAGACTTGGAAAAGAAAAACAATAATTTCATATTAAAACACAAAAATATAAATAGCATGCATACAACTTGAGATGGCATTATTGGATGAACAAAAATTGGATTAACAGATCCGTATCCATGGGCGTCAAGAAAGAAGTGTTTAGATGTTACTGACTGCACTGAACACACAGTTAGAAAGATGTTAAATAGATGGTGCATGATTTTGGTCATCTGGAAAAGATAAGGCCATTGTGAGATGTTTTTTTTAAAGGAGAGTCCATACCTGACATTGGGTGCCAGGGAGCTCTGTGCTAGTTTTACAAATCCTCATGCAAGACTCCTACTAGGTATGCTTGTTATGCACTTAGATAATGGACTGTACTGGCCTTAACCGAGGTGGCTGGGGATCTTGGGAGTTGGTGGACCCCAGAGATGCAGTACCCAGAAATCCTCTGGCACTCGTTAGCCTACCATTTGTTCATGGATGATAAACATGCATGGAAAACTCATTTGGAACATGAGTGAAGTCTGCTAGCCCAGTACCCTACTAAATGACAAACTCAGGTTCAAATGTCAGCCGTCTGAAAGTTTTATTATAAGACAACTTGATCAAACGTCCGTCAGCCGAGACTTCTCCTGTGTGATAGCAAATGTTTAGATGTTCCTCACTCAAAAATCCTACTTTACTACACAAAAGCTTGAAACCGTCCGCCAGCACTGGCCACACTCGGAGTGTAATGACCATAAGTCTGTAGCTGTTACATACTGCACTTAGATTCTAACAAGTCTTCAGAAATTACATGTTGCTGTTATCTTGGACTAAGTTGTACCTTTGTTGTGCTTTCTCTTTTCTTTATCCCACCCCATTGCAGTGTTGACATAAAAATGTTTGTCTAACAGGCCGTGGTGGACGATGGAGGGGTCAGGACAACAGACGAGGTGGCGGTGGCAGTCGTTACTCGGGAAGCAGCAGCAGCAGTCTTGGAGGAGGCAGTAGCAGTCGATTCTCCAGCGGCAACTCATTCAGTGGTGGTGGTGGCTTCAAACCGCAGAACAGTTACAACAACAGTAGCAGTAGTAGTAGCAGCTTCAAGCCGCAGGGAAGCTTCAACAACAGCAGCAACAGCAGTAGTACCAGCAGCTTCAAGCCACAGGGGACTTTCAACAGCATGAGCAACATGAACGGATATGGCTCTGCCCAGAATAGCTCTGGCTACAAACCGTACCAGGCTCCAGCTGCCCCAGGGGGCTTCAAGGGTCAGTGGAACCAGGGGGGTGTCACTGCTGCATCACTGGCATCCATACAACCAGCCCAGGGCCCCCCTTCTGCCGGAAGGTTTTAATTTCTAGTGTTCTCACACTTAACATATTCCATCATTTCTTTTTAGAGATTTGCTTTAATACTTTAACAAGTTGGAAAGTTTTCTATCAGTGTTTTTGCCCCTTCTTTTTGCTTTAATAGTTTGCTTGGTTGTTGTGTTTTTTCTATTAAATCTTAAAGATAGATAGTGTAGAGAACTTTAAGATAGGATTATTATATCACAAGAATCGGAATCCTTGTTTGGGATTTATATACATTTTAAGTAAATATTAGCTCTTGTAAATTCTAGCCAAACATGCTAGGATGGTTTATTTGGTACATGTATAGTGGGTATTTATGTGGGTTAACTAAAGTCTAGAGCCCCCACATCTTGGCATTTTTTATTGGGAATGTCTGTGGACTAAAGACTAGAGCCTCCACATCTTGGCATGGTTTATTGGGAATGTCTGTGGACTAAAGACTAGAGCTCTCCTCACATCTTGGCATGGTTTATTGGGTATGTCTGTGGACTTATGACTAGAGCCTCCACATCTTGGGATGGTTTATTGGGAATGTCTGTGGACTAAAGCCTAGAGCCTCCACATCTTGGCATGATTTATTGGGAATGTCTGTGGACTAAAGTCAAGAGCCTCCATATCTTGGCATGGTTTATTGGGAATGTCTGTGGACTAAAGACTAGAGCCTCCACATCTTGGGATGGTTTATTGGGAATGTCTGTGGACTTATTACTAGAGCCTCCACATCTTGGCATGGTTTATTGGGAATGCCTGTTAACTACTAGACCACACAGTAGGATCATTGAAGAAATGACGCCTTAGTTCTAGTACAGAGCACTACAATCATTGTATGTAGACAGAATAAGGTGTTAGAAGTTGTAGCAGTACAGTTCTTTCTGCCTTTTATCACCCAGTGCAGCATAGGTTCCATCAGCTCACATGAAGCCTTCCTGTTGTGTGCATCCCCTGCAGTGCCATCCATGTCCTCTCTATATTATTCATCTTCTCTTAGTGTTTATTTCAGCCTCTTTTTATTAACTTTGCTCTGCTGGCTCACATGGAAGGACCTTTTATTATCAGATTAACTACTCTTCTGTGGAATCAGTGTCTTGTCAGTTACAGGGCAATTCACAGTCACTGCCATGACAAGACTTGTCATAGTTCACAAATCATAATACAGTGATGAATTCATTTCAGTACTTTGCTCCATTACTATGAGTGATCTGCCAGTTTGGTCAGTGCAGGATCTGTTTGTTGGAGGCTAGATGGTGCCTTCCTGTTTGGTGACAACATCTCTCAATATTTCCACAGTTGATCCTGCTTGCTGTTTTTCCAGGAATGGAATTAACATAATTGCTCTACAACTGTTGTGCTTCTGCATGTTGACATCTTCACCAGGTATCCTTCCTACCTTCAGTCTCCAAGACTGCTGTGCTGAATTTCTCTGGTACCATAGTTGGCATGTTTAATAGCTAAGGGGTATAGGTTAGTTGTGGATCCTTTACAGGACGTTGCAGAACCAACCTTAACAACCCTTGGCTGTTGTGTGGTTTTTCTAGGCAAATTTACGTCCAGTAGTTTGCCATTGCTTTTTGGACAGTCGGCTATCTTGATACCACTGTCGAAACCAACGCAAGGTGCAAGGCCCGCAGCTGAGATCGAACTCGGCATTACGAAGCGTTCACATCGGCTTAGAAATGGATATAAGGGGAAGAAGAAGACACACACACAAGGACATTCATAAGTACTTTGTCTTGTCAGGGTTTGACACACTTTATTGCTAATTTGTGTACTCATTTACTTGATAGGATTCCCATTTAGATAGCTTGTCAAGTTCCCTGGTCCAGCTGTTAGTTACTTTTCTCTGCAGGTCTTGGTTGTTCAGATCTAATGAGCACATTTTATGATCTTTTCTTTTTTGTTCACTCGATACCAGGTGTTAGTTTTAACTATAGCATTTGAGATAATTTTTTTTTTTTTTTCAACTGCTGTAGCTGAATAGATTTATTGTTGTAACTGAATATGTTTACTGTTGTCACTTGGTAACAAATAAAACGTTTTCCGGTTTATCATTTTTGTTTTTGTTTGTTGGCTTTAGTTTTGTTTATTGTACTAAAAGAAATGTTGGCTGGATGTGGAACATATTGCTGAAATGTGGTCAAAGAATCTCGCTTATACAGGATCATGGAATTATGAGGCTAAGTGACCTGCTCTCTTACTTGCCAGAGAAATATTTGGTATCCATTTTGTGTTGCTCATAGTTACACAGTATCTACCACAAACATTAACTTCCCTGCAGCATCCAGCAGTGGAACACATTGCCGTCATGTTCTTGAACTGGTAAGAGGTTTGATTTAAGCGATGAAAACCGAGACAATCCATACAATTCTTGTCTGAAAATATTACTCGAACTTGTGCAAATTCTGACACCACTGTAACACACAACTTGTGTCTACTCGAACTTGTGCAGCTTCTGACACCACTGTAACACACAGCTTGTGCAGCTTCTGACACCACTGTAACACACAGCTTGTGTTTACTCCAACTTGTGCAGCTTCTGACACCACTGTAACACACAACTTCTGTTTACTCCAACTTGTGCAGCTTCTGACACCACTGTAACACACAGCTTGTGCAGCTTCTGACACCACTGTAACACACAACTTGTGTCTACTCCAACTTGTGCAGCTTCTGACACCACTGTAACACACAGCTTGTGCAAATTCTGACACCACTGTAACACACAACTTGTGTTTACTCCAACTTGTGCAGCTTCTGACACCACTGTAACACACAACTTGTGTTTACTCCAACTTGTGCAGCTTCTGACACCACTGTAACACACAGCTTGTGCAGCTTCTGACACCACTGTAACACACAACTTGTGTCTACTCCAACTTGTGCAGCTTCTGACACCACTGTAACACACAGCTTGTGTCTACTCCAACTTATGCAGCTTCTGACACCACTGTAACACACAGCTTGTGTTTACTCCAACTTATGCAGCTTCTGACTAACACACAGCTTGTGTTTACTCCAACTTATGCAGCTTCTGACACCACTGTAACACACAACTTGTGTTTACTCCAACTTGTGCAGCTTCTGACACCACTGTAACACACAGCTTGTGTTTACTCCAACTTATGCAGCTTCTGACACCACTGTAACACACAGCTTGTGTTTACTCCAACTTGTGCAGCTTCTGACTAACACACAGCTTGTGTTTACTCCAACTTATGCAGCTTCTGACACCACTGTAACACACAACTTGTGTTTACTCCAACTTATGCAGCTTCTGACACCACTGTAACACACAACTTGTGTTTACTCCAACTTATGCAGCTTCTGACACCACTGTAACACACAGCTTGTGTTTACTCCAACTTATGCAGCTTCTGACACCACTGTAACACACAACTTGTGTTTACTCCAACTTATGCAGCTTCTGACACCACTGTAACACACAACTTGTGTTTACTCCAACTTATGCAGCTTCTGACACCACTGTAACACACAACTTGTGTTTACTCCAACTTATGCAGCTTCTGACACCACTGTAACACACAACTTGTGTTTACTCCAACTTATGCAGCTTCTGACACCACTGTAACACACAACTTGTGTTTACTCCAACTTATGCAGCTTCTGACACCACTGTAACACACAGCTTGTGTTTACTCCAACTTTTGCAGCTTCTGACACCACTGTAACACACAACTTGTGTCTACTCCAACTTTTGCAGCTTCTGACACCACTGTAACACACAGCTTGTGTATACTCAAACTTATGCAGCTCAAATGGACATGATTCACATTATTACCTATCTCAACTCAGAAAATGATATATGCACTCTGTAAAAAAAAAAAAACACTCCAGATTTCAAATAACGTGTAACTTGACATAATGACACAGATACAAGTGAAGAGCCTGTATTTAGCTAGCTGTAGAGGATGAAGCAGAACAAATGACTAGATATCATGACATACAATTAAAATATCCCCTGCCATATACAGCTACTGGTGAGTACTACTGGTGAGTAGCTGTATATGGCAGGGGATATTCTGTATACAAAACAGAACCTACCAATCAAATACTTTTTCTGAATGTTTGTGTATTCTAGACATGGCATTACGGTCTACTGTGTTTGTAAATTGTTGCTGTGTTTGTTATTCGACCTATGCTTGTTTAATATAAATTTTTGTAACCTTTGGTTCCATTTCAATGGTTTGAAATGAATTAAGTCCATAATCCATAGTTGTGAATTTCAAGCTGTACGATAGACATGGCTAATTAAGACACCTTTTGGGGGTGTGGGGGGGGGGGGGGGGGGTTTGTGTGTGTGTGCCTAGTTAACCACGTTCTTATTGAATTTGTTTCCATAGCAAGGTGCACACACCATCTGGAGGTTCTACTTCTTTCTATGAGTGCTTATCAATACATTGTCTATTTGTTTTTAATATAATTTAGACAGTGTCAAGGGATCCCTCTGTTTATGTTATGCAGGATCTACTCCACCTATAACACAATCATGTATACTACAGTCTCTTGTGCCCGCTTTCATACGTTCATGGCAAACAGACCACCCTGTGTGTATGCTAATGGATATGCTGAGACTGCAGTCTGTGTCAATATTTCCACAAGGGACAGTGACAGACTTTCTGTATGTTTTTCATTGGCACAGTAGCGGAACAACTATGTGGTGACCAGTTTGCTATGAAGCTGAAACTAAGATTACAAGTTACAAGAATCAAATACCAATCAAGGCAGATTTTTAAGATAGGTTTGGCTTCTGGGTTGACCCAGTCTAAAAATGGGTAAGAAGAAGTGTTCTGGGTAGTGAAGGCGACCAGTGTGATATTATCATTACACCCATTTACTGCTAATTAATGTATAATATTGGACTATTGCTATAAGCTCAATATGCCTTAAGGTGAGAAAAGGGGACATTTTTTTTAACGACTTGCATGGAGAATTCAGGCATGGAAGTATTGGGGTCTCAACCCCCAGCGGGAAACTGGATGGGACA